ATTAATTTTACTTTAGAACCTGGACAATGTGATCCATGGAAATTTTCCGGCGCACCACATTTTACTTCACAATTTATTATCATTTTGAAGGCCTTGAAAAATTCTATCTGCGCGGAAAAATGACGATGGTATCGGGAGCGATACTTAAGATCTTATGGACCATACTATCCCAACAATAAGTTTTCCATAGAACCTGAACAGTGTGATCCTTGGAAATTTTCGAGAGCAGCATACTTTACTTCCCAATTTGTGATCATTTTGAAGATCTTGAAAAGTTCTATCTGTACAGAAAAAATGACGATGGTATCAGGAGTAATACTTAAGAGCGTACGGACCATACTATCACAACAATGCATTTTCCTGTAGAACGTGAATGGTGTAGTCCTTGGAAATTTTCGAGCGCAGCATGTTTTCGTTTACATTTTGTAATCATTTTGTAGCTTTTCAAAGTTCTATTTGTACAGAAAAAATGACGATGGTATCTGGAGCAATACTTAAGATGCTACGGACCATTCTATCACAACAATGGATTTTCCTGTAGAACCTGAACAGTGTAGTTCTTAGAAATTTTCGAGCGCAGCATATTTTACTTCATAATTTGTGATCATTTTGAAGGTGTTGAAAAATTCTATCTGCACAGAGAAAATGACGGTGGTATCAGGAGCGATACTTAAGATCCTACGGACCATACTATCCCAAGAATGAGTTTTCTTGTTGAACCTGGACAGTGTGGTCCTTGGAAATTGTCGAGCGCAACATATTTTCCTTAACAATTTGTGATCATTTTGTAGTTCTTGAAAAGCTCTATCTCTCCTGAAAATATGAGGCTGATTTGGTAAACTAACCCGGTTAACCTGTGGGGGTGATTCCGATGTTGATAATGCTTCTGTCCTAGGTAGAAATGTCGAGAAGAGGTCTTGAAACATGGCCTGAAAGAGGTCCAGATGCTTTAATCTTACTGAGAGGAAGATGAAATTCAATTTTATAAAGTGTTCTGAGATGATTTTTATTTAGGGCCGTTTTACGTGCAAACCCGCCCCCCTCCTTTCGCGTTGTTTAGTTGGCTTGTTCTTGGTGGCGTTGTTCTTGGATTGAATTGTTTTTTCTGTATTAAAAAAGTCGGAAATGAAATTGTATACTAGCACAGTGATAGCAATAATAGCTACAGTGTATAGGATGATGAGCTTAGAAAAATCTTTGCTCTTTATCAGGTCTTGCACTGTAATTGTGATTTCATTTGCGTTTGAATTCGTGGCAAATGCATTGTTCGTATTTATTGGATCTGGTGTGCCTGTTGTATATAATCGTTCCTAAATATCGGTAAAGTTCATTGTATATGAGTTCAATAAATGCCTATTTATCATAGACATACCCAGGTCAAACGACCCCAGTCGGATCTCGCCAGTTCGAAATAATTTCGGTCGGATCCGGTCCTATATTTGTCGGATTCCCATCAGCCGGATTCCGGTCCGGATTTCATCGGAATTCGACGGAACGTGATAAAATCCGACCTGATCCGGCCCGGACTTCATCGTGTTCCGTCGAATTCCGATGAAATCCGGACCGGAATCCGGCTGATGGGAATCCGACAAAAACCTTGTCGGATCCGATCGGTTTTTTATGACAGGTGTCGGATTTCGATGAAATCCGAGGCGGATCCGATCGTTTTCGATCGAATCTACAGGTCTGATTGAATCTCCTGGGTAGTGCTAACTTACGCGTATGTGATGTTTGTCTTCGGGAAACAAGGTAGCATGATATAGAATATTGTTGATAGGTGATGAGTAGAAATCTGAAATGAGAAGAGAAGGAGACAGCTGTAGGGTCCATATTGTCTTTTCTTTTTGTGTCGTTAAGAAAAAGGCCTTCAAAACGAAAAGCGTGAATTGGAAAAAAGAACGAAAAAGAACACATGGTAACAATAAGATCATAAGATCGCGCAAGTTGTTATTTCTTTTTGAGATATATAGACGGACGTCTCATGATTCATCAAAAGAGACCATTTTATGTTGAAGATTGTTTCATACTTTATTTGTAGGTGGACTTATTCATATGTCTTGTGCACGTATCTATGTCTTAGATCTATTGAACATTTTTGTGCCAAAATGGATACACCTTGATATTATAAGCGTTTGATTCTAATCTTGAAACATTGAATACGCACGTTCATACTGATTTTCTTCAGTTGAGTTCAACATCTTTACAATATACTTCGAATAGTACATATATCTACAACAGAATAGTGTATGAGGATAATAATAGAAAATCTAAATATCTCGTTTTTCTTTTGCTCATTTTTCTACTAGATTATTTCACAACAAAAACAAACACGTCATTATGATAAGTACAACAGATTTCTGATATTCTATATGTATAATCGTAGTATTTATATTGAATAAATGCAAATTGCTAGGACTGATTACGTCACTTACATATTTTTTTGAAAGGGATGTTGAAGTTGTCATGGATAGATGATTCAAATTCGAACACCAGACCATCTCATATGGGCGACCATAACGTTGTTTAACATCACTACCAATTGGACAGATTATGTTTAATTTAGTTTCACCATGAATAATGAACAATGTTTCGATCATATGTCGTAGTAGAATCGAACGATCATCAGGAACTGAATCAATACCGAAAAGACTATGTATATAAATGCATCATGAAGATAGATTTACTTACGAACAGCAATAATCGCCATTTTATATAAATCTATTGTGTGGTACGGTAGTTGATGAATGTGAGACGATACAAAATTTTCGAAAAATATACGCTGCTTTTGTACTTGTCCATAAGAAAACGCATAGGCAACCGGTGACTTCGGTACGTGTTGTAAATAATGATCGACTCGACGACTATCTATTGGAGTCATTCCCATTCTATCAACTAATTCAGAATCGATCGTTGAATTTCTGTTATGATAAGCAGCATTGTCTGCTAATGCGTCGTCACGATGTAGAGGGACAAAACACCAATACTTTGGATTACATTCGAGAAAGGAACGAAGTGCTACTGGACATCGTGCTGAATGTTGATAAAGACGCATCTTATTTAATAATTCTTTCCTAGAATGTTGAAAAAGAAAAATATAATCTATGTGTAGAAACTATCATGAATTGAGAATTACTCTGGTTCGTGAGGATCAATGCCATCTCCTTGAAAAAGAGGACTACCTGTCAATTTTTCATGTAGAATTCGATTGCCATGTTTTCGATGATCTATATGAGAGAAGTTAAACATTGATATAGGGAAAATGAAGTCTTTCGTCCAATGTTATTACTTACATGTCATATCATCATCCAATGTATTTGGTGTTGAATCCACATAATCATAATGACCACATGGACATGTCATCACATAGATGATATTTTTTGTAGTACATGTCTAAATATCACTCATGGTCTATCGATGACCATTCAATATGAGAAAAGAACATACGACTGGACAATTCAGATAGGTCTCGTAGCCATTGACAAACGTATGCATCGAACTTGAATGAAAATCAATCACTGGCCATGATTCTTTTTTCTTGTAGGTATTTTTTGGATAGCAACAGAAACAAAATAGATTACCACATGGAACAAAAGAATAGCGTGCTTGAGGTTCCTCTTTTCCACAAAAGAGACCTTGCGCCGTTGAGTCAGGAATAGCTCCTCGATACGAACACGTTTTCATGTTGAATAAATCCACTAAACAAATGCAGAAAATTATAATCTGATTTATAACTATGAAAACGAACCATCTATTTGTAAATAGAATTCTAATAGTATGGACATTTGTTTTGAGTTGAGTGTTGGTTCTTTTAACGCAACGTCAGCAATACAGAGAACATTTCGACGAAATGATTCATGCAAAGCCAGAAGAGTAGAACAGATACCACGAAGCCGATCAGCATGGAAAGTTATAATTGACTTGCCTACATGTAATCGATTGGCTAATTCTTCTGCATCGTCTTCAGACAAACTGAATATATATTGCCATAGTCGTACATATTCATTAAGATGAGTGCATCCGAGGTATGGGCAGCTTCTTCATGTTGCGCTATTTCATAAGGTGTAAGATGAGTAGCTACCCAATCATAGAAACAATTAGATAAGGGTCTAAGAGTAGAAACATGTCAAAAGACGAACCTGATACATTTGCTAAAAGTAAAGATTTGTTGATACTCATAGACTTTGTTGGAAATAGTGGTAAATAAGCATATCGTCCATTATTTGCATTTGATAATGTTGTCGGTTTATATCTTTCTTGTTCATTGATAGTCAAGAAAGAAGTTGCCTTTTCTGCACGATTGACATCAATAGTAATAGAATCCATAGGTGAGAAACTAAAAAAGAATTGAAATTCTCTTTTTATTTACTACAAGTGATATGTTTTTGCTAGATTTTATCTAAAATAGTAAACGAATAAAGAGAATAAGGTGTTTCATATGTAAGAAAATTTTGCAAACAACAATAAAACAGGAATCTTAAAGTTCAATGTTCAAATTTGATTGAAATCAAAATAAACAAACAAACAGTAGTACTCATCCTAAGTATTCGTTGTCGAAATGTATCACCCTAGTGCAATGCTAATCAATAGCAATAATCGTCAAATGACAAGTGTGCAGTGTGGAATAAGTTTTTTTTCTCTCGTTTCGTTTATTTGTTTGTGTTTGCTGTTGGTTTCTTTTTGTATATGTATTGTTGAGGAAATTTCTTCAACGTTCGTTCTGGTTGGTAAGATTCAGGATTTTTTTTTCATTTTTCTACGTAATGGTATTCGTGCCGTACATTGATAAATCCAACATTGATTTCTAAAGTTTTCCTAAAGAAAAGTCTATCCTGGTCGGTTTCATGAACGCTAGTGATTCGAAAGTAGTATACTTTCATAAAGACTTTCGAGAGAAACGAATTCCTAAAAGTAACAAACCTGTAATATGGAGCTATTGTCGGACTATGTCTTGGGGGATACGACTCGTTCTCATTCTACTGTGACAGTTTCTAAAGTCGTTGACAAGAGTCAAAGTTTACTTTTCTAAAGTAAATGAAAACCAAAAAACGGGCGTTTGAAGAGAAAGGTACTTTCACCGAGAGAACTCCACAGAAAATAAGTGGGAAAATACACATAAGCAAAGAGGCATGGATTGTGATTCATGGAGCGGAGGAGGTAAGATTCTCATAGATTGAGGTAAACGATTTCATTTTATTTGTCAACATGTGTCTTTTATTGACGACACATCCATTCACTCTCTTATTTTGAGTGACATAAGTGCATTGTTTAATGGTGAATGAAATATAAAGAAAGTGGAATAAAGTGACAATAGAAATCATTCTTTTTCTTTTTTTTTTTGTTCAAAAATTTACCTCACCTGAACTTCACTGTAGGCCTTCACACAAAGTAAATTGGAATATCTGATAGGAAGAGATTGGTCGCCGTAAATCCGATGTCCAGTGATCGATAAAGATTAGATCATTGGTTTTCAATCTAGAAAACAAAAAGTGTTCTAAGAGAATTGATTTGTGAGTAATGAATACGAATGAAGTAAAACAAATGGAGACAACCAAAGACATTTATTGAATTGAAATAGAAGAAAAGAAAAGAAAAACACAAAGTGAACAATAATGTTGATATGACACAAAAATTGTCGGTACATACACATACACACAACACGATCTAAGTGACAAATATGGAAAAGATGTTTCGATCATCATTGGCTCCATAAGAGAGATGTGCACACAGAAGAGAAACATACATGAATAAGAATTCGAAAGTAGAATCTACTAGAATATTCATTCATGCTGAGAAAAATGCCATTTACGAAGCAGATGGAGAATCTTGATCAATTTTAAGTGTCACATGGTAAGGTGGGATAGAACCACTTGCAATGGTTCAACGAAAGAGACTTTTGTAAGGTTGACGTTGACCCGGTTTCGATAGAAATTCATCGATTAATCGCTCGATCGCACTTGTTAGAACTTCTTCATCTTGTATTTCAGATTGTCGATATGATTCAGTAACTGATGAGTTGATTGAAGACATGACTCTGTAGGAATGAATTTAAGAATCTAAAACAATATTCTCATTCATGGACAGGATGTCATCGGTAAAAAGATGACAATTTTTCGTCACCAAAGCTGACACAACAGGTAACCGGATTAATGTCTCTTAGATAAGTCTTAAGGTTAACAACACAAAAAAAATGAAACTACTTATGTTTATATATGAATGTTTTTCTAAAAAGAATGAAGAAAAGAAATCAGATCGAAAAGCATTCTACGTACAAATGAGAGGAAGTAAAGCCATTTTAATATAGAGCGATGGAATGTCAATAAAGCGAGTGATCATTCTCCACGGTATACATATTGTTGATGTAGATTCATGGAAATCGAAGTAGAAGACAGATGCTTTTATGTATATGTATATATATACTGCTGAGAAACCCAATGCGAAGATAGGCTGTGTCGTCGAAACGGCTCTGTTGAAGATGTGGAAGTGACACGATTTGTACACAATCATATCATTTTTGTTTGTCTTCATAGTCAATAATCAACGGACACAATCTGGTAGGTCATGTAAATTCCAGGAAAAAAAATATCCACAATAGAAAATGAAATGTAGAAAAAATGAAGGATATTCAATTCTACAGGAGTATGTTAGTGAAATAAAATTTAAGAACATTGAAAAAAAACTTGACAACACAGTTTTCTGTTCGAATATCGACTATGAAGTTTTGAAACAGAATTCTCTCACCCTGTGCGTATGTATCGAGTAAGAATAGACTAGAGATGAATTAGAATAGTTTGAGCGTTACCTAAACAAATCCATTTTCCTCCTCAGAATAAACTAAGCGAGAAAAACATAAACACTACGTTGATATATATGTCTTGTGACTATCGTAAAAGTGAATCGGTTTGATGCGTTTATGTCATCGTTGGGCAATGTCTATGAACGGGTGTGAGATTGGTATGGACGATCAATGAACAAAATGTCTTCTTTTGGATTTTTCTTTGAGAACATCTGGAAAACAAAACGTTTCATCTATATGAATAGGATCACAAGAAAAAAGATCGTACTTGGAAGTGGTATCGGTTTAAGTAATTTCACTGGTGGTCGTTTTTTGGACAATTCAAGTTGAGTATTACGATGATTTTGATGGTCAACAATCAATCGAATTTGCATGGCTGGAGTATTTTGAAACGTTTCTGTATAAATGTGATGGATATCACGTTTCAGTCGATTTAATCGTGGGGTGTGGGTGTGGATATGGGTGTGGATGTGGGTTTGACTGTGGGTGTGGATGTGTGAATGTGGATGTGGGTGTGGATGTGTGAATGTGGATGTGGGTGTGGATGTGGGTTTGAGTATGGGTGTGGGTGTGTGGGTGTGTGGATGTGGATGTGGGTGGGTGGATAGGTGGGGGTGGGGAGTGGGTGGGTGTGAGTGGGTGCGGGTGTGGGGTGTGGGTGTGGACATGAGGTTCAATGTCAATATACGTCTTCTCATCATTGACATCTACAACTACAC